AACTGAAGAATTCGCGGTTCTGGTAATTTAGAGCTCAAGCCTTCTCAAGTTATTCTCAACAAAAATAATGAGTGCTAAGCAATACAACTTCGTATTCAAAATAGTATTTGAAAACACTTGGATAGCTCAGATAGTTACGAATAAAAAACAAAGGGCTGCTAAAGAATTCGCTCTTTCGTTAATATATTGACATCCCCTTCTTGATGAAATGAGGTATTTCAGGCAGGTATTTCATTTGTGGACTAGCATGTCTTACATTTTCCAAGAGACTAGCAATCTTTTAATTTCATTTGAAAAATTCAGGGTCATACCCCTTCTTTTCTGCCAGTGTATGCTCCGCTCTACTGAAGTCAATATTTTGTTGGTGTGACTTTGAGCGGTGATAGATTGGCCCACATTCGTCGCGTTGCAGTTGCTGTTGCAGATCATGCTGCTGGCTCCGTCGGTTTCCCTTGGCCAGTGGAAAATGCAGTTTCCCCGATGCAGTTGCAGTTGCATCATCCACATCATCCGCATCATTCGCATCATCATCATCGTCGTCGTCGTCGTCGCCAGCCTGGTAATCTAACCAAATTACTGTGCTGTTCACAAACACGTTCTCTAAACGGTTTCATAATAACAACGCGCTCCTCAAAAGAATTTCCAAAGCGGGCTTTCTTTTCAGCTTCCTCTTCTCATGGATTACATATCTCGGTGTATATCTATATACCCCCTGTTTCGGTGTGTTGGTCTAATGCAAATTGCAGTAATAATTGGCCCATTATGCCACAGAACACAACTGAGTGAGACGGAGATAGAGAGAGGGAACAGGACGGGGAGTCTGCAGTAGGTCGCCTCATCTCATCTGCCACGCCCACCCCGGCCCCACTACGCCCCCTTTCACACAGCAGAAGGAAGCGGCGAAAACCATTTAATACTGTGCTTTCATACTTAAAAGTTGGCATTAGATGCGCTTACACCAAACCAAATATGGTTATGAAATGGTTAAAAGGGGCGGAGGGACGGGGTTAATATGCCTTAACCCCCGAGGCGGAGGAAGAAGAAGAAGGAGTTGCAGAAGCTGCAGGAGTAGATTGCATTGAATATTGCGCTCATTAATTAGCCGACATTGCAAATTAATGCCTAATCAAATTTTATTGAATTATAAACCAGTCGGCAGTCGAAATGCCAAAATGCAGAGCCGAATAAGAGGTGGATCCCAGGAAGGGGGAGTAGGTAGTAAGCTCCTCTCGCTCGTTGTTGGTAATTAATGTGCAGCAAAGCGGCCAACAGGCATTAAAATTAATTTGATTTTGTCAAAGGCAACAACATGGGAAGCGCAACTCCCGAGGTCTCAGTCGCAGTCGAAGATTCAGAGACTCTGTTGCAGTCCCTCGAAAAACAGCCTGACAAGTGTCCGCCGTCTAGGCGAGCTACACTGTGAGAAAAGTATATTTTTTACTCAAGTCGAAAAAACAGGATGAACAAATCCTGCATAATTTTGCTTCAAAAAACGCAGTATTTTGTCCGAAACAAAGAAACAAGTTGTCCATATATCGAATGTCATACCTCGTTAAGTTCGTATCAAAATTCCCTATCGATTGACACTATAGCCTCAAAACTATAATTTTTGACTATTTTTAACCAAAAATTGCTACCCCTTATAAAAAATCCGAAAATTGGACATCATTTTTTTTTTTTTTAATTTATACAAAAGTTATATTTTTTTGTTAGCTTTGGTTATTAGAAGCGTAAAACTGTGATCATATTAGCTATGGCACCCGTTTTAACTGAGTTACGACGGAAAAACACAAAAAAAAACTCCCTGTATTGTCATAAATCCTTAATCCGAATAATCCGCCAAAAAAAGAGTATTTGGCCCGAAGCAAAGCAAAAAATTTTCCAAATATGCAATGTCATACATCGTTAGGTTTGTGTTAAAATTCAATATACGAACGCTAAAAACAACTGAGTTCAAGCAAAATATTTAAGGTGTACACCCGAATTGTAGAGTCCACCTATTAATGATAGACCTTGCAGAGGCCCTATTCCTAAGATTGATCTCAGATCGTTCGAAGCCATCAGCTAATGATCTGATATAAAGGCATTATATCTGCAGGGAGTGGGGGGAGGGAGTGACTCCACTACTGATCCCTTTCCTTCCTGCACCCGGTCTTAGCCAACTGGGCACCCTGCAGGGTATCAGACTACAGGCCCATTGGCCGACTCTACAACCTGGCCAACAACAGATCGCTGCTATTTTAATTAACTGCCCGGTCTGTGCATTAAAATTGTTTTGACTTTGTTAAATGCTTGCAAATCGCAAAGCGACATGAAAATTTACGCGCCAGCCGAGGAAGCGACCGGCAGATGAAGATGGAGATGCAGTCGGTCGAAGACGAATCGGAATCGGGATCCCGAGGAACTGGGAACTGGGAGCGGTAGCCTGAAATCGATACTGCGAACACATACTCGCTTTAGTCGCAGCATTCGATGCGGACATTTGCCATTTACCATTTACCATATGCTTTTTGCCGGCGAGATGTTTTTCCACCACCCAGCTGACCGAGGCAAAATACCGCAATCAAGCAAATGGCCAAGTGGATGATGCACTGCCTCATCACCAGCTACAATCCATCCCCGGTCCGTCCTCGGGCCAACCCATCCCATTCTCAATGCCATCCCCTTGCCATCCGGGCACAGAGAAAACACAACGATTGCATTCTTAGCACATTAATATAATACCTTTCAATGTCATTTGACTGGCTATTAATGGTTATTAATGTTATGATTAAAATCAACTCTATCACTAATATTATTTATTTGGAACACTGAAATTATTTTATAGAGCTATCACTGAGTTTTCAGCAAAGTGATAATAGATTATCATGATATAGGGAACCTATCATCGGAATAAGAACCTGTTACCTTCGTGATAAAAGGTCACTAGCGAGTAACTCATGTTGCGAAGTGTTTAGAGACCTTGACTTAGTAACAATACCAATGTATCACTGAAATCGTCATGATATTTTCCCAGTGCAGTACCATTGTTCTTCGCCACCCAAAGAACGCGAAAATGTTTGCCAATGTAATTAAAAATGCATTTGTGGTAAAGAGCAGTGAGAAGCGAGCGTAGGCCGGTCGGCCAGAAGGAAGTGGCTGCTGGGATGCTATGGCACTGGGATACCGAGATACTTGGATACTGAGATACTCAGATACTGGGATACTGGCATACCGAATGCCCCATCTGTAATCGGCGATCAGTGCAAATTGTCGTGAATTAGTCGGCCACTCAAATCTATGGCATTAGGCCCGAGGAGTCGAATCTCGAGTCACATTAAAGAGCCGCCGCCCGCTTTTGGGGTCGCGATCGGGAAAGACCAAATCGGGAGAGAGCGAAAAGTAGTGCCACATCACACATACGCCGTGTATGACGGCGAGGTCTGAGGAGCTGTACGCGTGAAATGTCAAAAGCTAAAAATGCCATTTGCTGTGCTCCAATCACTCGTTGGCCTTTTGGTGTGGAGCACTGTGAGAAAATATTTCAAATATGTGCGAAAGGGGAGTTACTTCACCTAGAAAATAGAAATAGTTCTGATAAAATATTATATCTTACAGTATCGATTTCTTAGTGGGACATTAAACACCATGGATATTAAAAACCAATATCACATCCCATAACCATTTGAATATTTTAATTGATTTTTCTTAACGAGCCAACACTTATGAATGCGGCGTGCGAATGCGATTATTAAGATAATCTAAAAAACTAGTTTGATAGCTTGTCAGCTCTAAACTTTGCAAGTGTAAATTAGATTGAACGGCTGATAATCATTTTTTCTAAGCACCATAAGAAATATTTTTTGTTTGTCGACGTGTAGAAAAGTGCCCATGATTTGCTCATTGTTGTCATTGTCCGCAGTCTCACACGCAGGCAAAAAATATAGGAAAAATAAGAAAAACTACAAGACTTGCCTGCACATGCAGATTGGCCAAGAGCGATAGCGATAGCCTTTTATTTGCCTTTCGTCTGTTTTTGGTTTTTGGAGCTCAGAGTTTTCCGACTTGCGGAATGGAGTTGTTGCTGTGCCCCGGCGATGGGGCCCAATATGTTGTTGCCAGATGAACAATTTCCTTTCCGACGCGAACACCACCGAACCAAAAATAAAAACCAAGCCACCTGACCAGGATCGAATCGCTGGGGTCCGAGAGGCCGGGGCCCGGGCCTTTTCCCTGGCCCACGCTCGATGGGTCCACCGTTTTCGGTCCGTTTTGCGGGGCCTCGATGAAAAATTTGCAAATTGGAATTATTTATTTATTGATGCATGTTTGATGTGACGCTTTTGTGGAGGCTCCCAAGCTCCAGGCCCCCCTTTTTGCACATTCACTCTCATGTAACGAATCGCTTTTTAGCTGCGGGCCACAAATGCAATCGGCAAACACAGAATGACGAAAACTCTGAAAAGTCGGGGGAAAATGGCCGAGGGAAGGCCGCACATGTGTGAGAAATTGCTGTTTGTTTTATGCAAATGATCATCGCATTGCAGCTGGATTCGCTCTGCCGGTCGCCGTTCCAAATTTTCGGCTAGTGCAATTAAAAACCGAAAGTGTGAAGGAAGCTGGCTGTTTTGCAGACCGATGATGAAGCGATTGGAACTGGGAATTCGGAGAGAAAAGTGCGGGTAAAGGTAACGGAAAAGGGAAAAGGCTCAAATCGGTCTCACTTTCTAACTTCAATATATTTTCCAGGGGAAAGGTCTTTCAATTTGGAAGGGTTTCTTTTTGGAGTGATCCCTTTGATCAAAAACAAATGGATGGTGGTTTGATTTTACTTATAATGGTCTCTAAAAGTATACAGCAAAATATTTTTGGGCCGGATGTCCGATAAATTCGATCCGTTCCCAAAGGATTTCATTTTAAAATGTCAGATTCCTAAGCCTTCAGAGATTTCAAGACCACAAAACGGCATAACAGACACACAAATCATTTTTTGATTCAACACAATGAATAATTTATATTTCGTAAAGAACTTCGTTATTGGCCATGAAAACACATGCAATTTAAATTCCCACCACATATTCATGTTATGAAAGACGACGTTTAAGGTAAAACGGATGCAGTTAAGGGATCTACATCATTCCACTATCAATGTCCCTCACCTCGACCTGCTCCATGCCGGGAATGGCCTTGACCATCTCGTTCATCTCCTCGGCAGTGGGTCCATCGCTTTTGGAGGCGCTCATGCCGCCACCTCCACCCCCCATTCCACCGAAGCCGCCACCCATGCCTCCCATGCCACCGAATCCGCCCATTCCTCCCATGCCACCCATTCCGCCCATTCCACTCAGGGCTGCCAGCTCCTCCAAGCCGCCCATGTTCATGTCCAGGCCGTCATCCATTCCGCCGCCAGCTGCAGCCAACTTGGCCAGGAGATCATCGTTCCTGGAGTCGGTGATCACCACCTCAGTGGTGCTAAGGAGGGAAGCCACTCCGGCAGCATCCGTGATGGCGGTTCGCACCACCTTGGTGGGATCGATGATGCCCTTCTCCACCAGCCGACAGTACTCATCGCCCATGGCGTCGTAGCCGTAGTCCCCAGAGCCCTCTAATACTTTTGCGACCACCATGGCGCCATCCACTCCCGCGTTCTGGGCAATTGTCTGGCAGGGCATCCGCAGGGCATTGCAGATTATATCGACGCCCTTCTGGAGATCCGCACTCTCCATCTTGAGTTCTTGGAGATGGGGAATGCATCGCAGAAAGGCCGTTCCTCCCCCAGGAACGATTCCCTCCTCGACGGCCGCTCGCGTGGCATTCAGGGCGTCCACCACGCGGTCCTTCTTCTCACCCACCTCCACCTCGCTCCCTCCTCCAATGTGGAGCACGGCCACGCCCTTTGTTAGGGCGGACAGGCGCTGGCGCAGACGATCCCGCTGCTCCGGCTTGGTCTGCTTGTCCGCCAGCTCATCCTTGATCTGCTGGATGCGCATCTCCAGCAGTCCCGGCTTGGGCTTACCCTGCAGCAGCATGGTGCTGTCCTTGCTGATCACAGCCTCTCCCACCTGGCCCAGATCCTCCAGCTTGGCCTTCTCCATCTTGGAGTAGTTGACGTCATCACCAAAAATCGTTGCTCCCGTGGCAGCGGATATGTCGCCAATAAGCTCCTTGCGATGGTGTCCATAGCTGGGCGACTTGACGGCACACACCTGGAGGCCCAACTTCAGCTTATTGAGGACCAAGGCATTCAGGGCCTCGCCACTGATGTCCTCGGCAATGATGATCAAGGGACGACGCTGCCTCAGAGATTGCTCCAGACCCTTGACGATCTCCGGGAGACCGGTGATCTTCTTCAGGGAAATCATCACGAAGGCATTGGTAAACTCCACTTTAGAGCCCTTGGAGCTGTTCACAAAGAAGGGTGAGACGTAGCCATTGTCGAAGCGCAGACCCTGGATGATATTGAGCTCATCCTTGAGGCGCTTGCCATCCTTCACAGTGATGGTGCCCTTGGGACCCACTTTATCGGTGGCCTCGCCAATGAGACGACCTATCTCGGTATCACCATTGGCAGAAAGGGTGGCTACCTGCTGGATCTCCTCGCGGGTCTCCACCGACTTCGACATCTCCTTCAGCTTCGCCTTGACCACATCCACGGCCAGCATGACACCGCGTCGAATCTCCATGGGATTGGCTCCCATGGTGATCTGATTGAATCCCTCCTTGGCAATTGCCCGAGCTAAAACAGTGGCCGTCGTAGTACCATCTCCCGCCGACTCATTTGTATTGTCGGCCACATCCTGGACCAACTTGGCCCCCAGATTCATGTGCTGATCCTTCAAAGCAATCGAGCGGGCCACCGTGAAGCCATCCTTGGTGATCTTCGGCGAGGTCCAGGGTCGTTCCACGATCACACTTCGACCCTTGGGACCCATGGTCACTGCCACGGCATCCGCTAGAACGTCCACACCCCGGATCATCAGGGCCCGGACTCCGGGTCCAAAGCGCACCTCCTTTGAATACATTCGCGCGAAACAGCGACTAGAGATGATCGCCTCGGACACACACGACCGGAACATTTTCGCACTTGTTATGGAAAACTAGAACAAAGAAAATTTCCAAACTTATTCAATGGTATAAATATTTTTTGGTTCGATTTCAGCCACGAAGTGAGTACAAATGTAATTATGGAGACTGATAAGGCGCCAGTGAGGAAAGCAAAGGCAAATAATCAAAAGCCTACTAGTTGGATCAGGCGATCTTGTTGAGTTCCTTATATTTTAGATATCTTAAGCAATCAGGTTCCGACTTCAAGGATAGTTTTAAAATTGATCATCGATATTTAAGTGTTCTTCATCCCGAAGCTGCACCAGTATTTAAACTTCGGCTTGCCAAAGTTACAAGCCCATTTCCTTTGTACCTATTTCTGAGTAAATAGGAACCATTCCTTCTCTGTTTATATTGATTTTCCTCGAGCACTTATCGGGCTGTTCATTTGTCTAAATGGGAAGTAGAGGTTTTCAGGCAATCGCCAGATTTCACAACTTGCATTTGTCTGGCGCCTGGTCGTCTGGGATCTGTAGTTCTTCGATCTCCGATGCTCAATGCTCGATGTTCGACAACAGAAGCCGGGCCTTCTGTTAGCAGGAATAAATTAGCGTGCAGCTAATAAGCCCCGACGTTCTGGGTGGAGTCTGCCCATTTGCAGTCTATTCGGTTCTACGGGCTCTCTGACCCACAAACAAGAGCAGCGTCTGCAGATTTCCCAGAACTGCTGTGGATTCTGGATACCCCAGGAGGAGGATGAATGCATTTTCCTTGGCCGGCCGTTCCCATTTCGAAGGCAGCTGTCAAAAATCGTTTGCTGCCTACTGCAAACCAAAGAAATTCACACATTTTGCTGCAAGCCAAATGGCAAATGGAAATGGGGAGTTTGAGACGGAGATGGAAATGGAAATGGAGATGGGATGGAAATGTTGGGTGCACTGTGGGCATAAATTTGAAATATTTTTATTATAATTGGTATATTTCAATGTAATGCATTGTTGTTCCAAGAAAGGTCTGATTTTTCTTATTTGTTAAACTACACCGTTAAAAAAGATTAGTTTTTATTTAACAATTACTTTTCTCATTTTCCAATATCATGTTAATATTATACAATTTTACATAAGTCCTCAGTACCATGGATATTACCGATATAATTGGTATTTATTTTACCTGTGCACATTTTATTCGATTTAGGCTAAACATTTTCTCTCTGTGCTGCAGTCAGGGATCTCTATTGGAGCTGGGGTCGTCATTGGAATCGGGGTCCGTTTCCTGGCCGCTTGACGCGTTGATTGCCATGTGCAAGCGGTAGCACAGTAGCCGGGTTTTGTGTCAAAAGCCCGTCACCGATTTCGGGGGAAGGGCGGAGGAGCTGATTGATGAGGCATTTGCATGTTCGACTCTCGGGGAAGTCGAACTTCTTCTGCTCCCGCCGCAGCCCCCGAGCAACCTTTCTCTCCATCTCTGCAAACTCGGCGACATGTGAAAGTGTCCATGGTGGGGAGACCACCTGGTGGGCCTTACGATAATCCCAACTATAACCCATCTGCAGGGTCTCGCTGGCCGGCCACAAATTACTTTCGCTGGAAAGCCTCGATCTATGATTAATTGCAGGCCATCTTCGGGGATTCTCCAATTGATTTCTGTGTGTTTTTCGCTTTTTTCGTGGGCTGAAATTAACCCACTGACCGCTGGCCGATGATTTCCTATTTGATTTTGCCAGAGTTTTGCCTGGTCTGTCATTAGCCGCGGATCTCCACGGATCGAGCAGATGAAGTCGTTCGGGTAATTGTGGAGCAGACGGCAAAGAAAGTTTTAATGAGAAGTGGGCAGACGGCAGACTGCCGAACTGGCAGACTTTCGGACTTGCAGTTCAATCCGACCATTTGCGTAAGTGCCAGGGCAGACGAAATTCCAGGATCAGCCATCTGGGATCTGGGGCAGCCAAGTGCAGATTGGGCTCATGGGATCGGTCTATCGATGAGCTGCACCTAAAAAATTTGATTGGTAATTCAAGTGAAATTCTTACTAAATGAAAATATTTATAATGAAAAATTACGGTTGTTAACATCAAGTTTAAGGTATTTGGATAGATGTAAATATTTATGTGCACGAGAACACGATTACAAAATGTCAAATTAAGATGTTGCCTCCAACTGACACTATTTGTTAGTACATATTTCTGAGTGCATTGAGGCAGCTCCCCAGCCTCGTCTCAACTTAGCCTTTGCTCCCAGCTTTTTTGACTCAAGCGAGGCAAACTCTGCGTCTCCGAAAGGCAGCCCCTCATATTGTCACGTACCGGGCGGTGTCAAGAGTGCATGAAAATCGTTTGCCGCATTGACTGTAATTAACTTTTTGACTCGATTTGACTGAAGCCGGGAGCTGGGGGCCCACCGGTCGTATGAGCAACTGGCACGCCGTTCCCAGCCCCGCGAAAAGCGGATAGCAGGTGCTCCGCAGCTCGATTTCGGTGGAGGTGCAATTAAAATTCCTATACGGTCCAATCGAATGGCCAAGGAATGCGTGCAGCGTCCAATTCGATTTCGATTTCAATTTGTGTTTGCTTATCAGCGCGCAAAGCAATACAAAACATTTGCTGGCTAATAATTAAAATTATTTAACACGCCGCCACCGCTTAAATGGCATCGCTCATACGCCGTGTTAGCCGCGCTGTCCCCCGCGGTCGACTTGCCAAATTGGCTGTCAGTGGGCTGGAAACAACTAAAGCCACACAACGACTTAAACTTAGACTTAGACAACTGCAGCAGCAAATAAAAAACAACCAACCGGCAGCCTTTGTGGCAGCAACGGTGGCAAAATAATTTGCATAACCCGCAATCTGTGTAATCTCCCAAGTTGGTGGCATAAATTAAAAGGAAAATGTCAGACTGATCCAAGAGAGGAATTTCGGGGGAAGGGTGGGCGGAATTTGACCCAACTCTCACGGCAAAGGTTGATCTAATTAAACATACCCAAGTAACCAGTATTTAACTATGAATTAGGCGTTGGTGGTATGTTGCTTTAAGATCTTTCTGGCAGACTTTTTCTTTTAAAATTAATGTTTATATAAACAGGATTTTGCGACCAATGGGTGAATGAAAAGAAAAGTCAATGAAAGAAATTGATATTCATTGGACATTCCCAATGGCTATACCAAGCGGAAATGGTTACGCCAAATGGATACTCCAAATGGATAGTCAAAACGAATACACCAAATGAATATCTTAAACTCATACTCCACTCAAATTCTTCAAATAAATCTCTAAATGGGGAGTACCCAAATGAATACTCCAAATGAATACTCTTAATGAATACCCCTAATGAATACCACAAATGAATCCCTAGACTATGTTTCCTCCCTCAGAAACCCCTTCATCCTCCTCCATGGCCACAAACTCCCAGCCACCCACTCGACCAGCGATTTGTATTGTCACATCGGTACGAGTGTCGTACGAGTGTGGACAAAACAGTTGACCCGGAGAGTCAGAGTCGTCGGAATGGAGACGGCACTTCACACGCCGCCGTGGCGAAGACAACTTAATGCTTAATACTTATTGTCGCGCCTTAATCTAGATACACTCGGCACTAACAACTAACGACTTGGAACCAAGGGGATGGGGTTGGGGATGGGGATGGAGATGGAGTCCAATCCCAATCCCAGCCAATCTGCAGCTCGTGCTCGTCCGGCAAACACAAAATTGAGTGGCAAAATGTTTCTCCTCTGTGGTTTTTTCGTTTTGTTTTTGAACATTTTGTTGTCACGGCTGTCGCCCCTGCTCCACCGCCACCGCCACACATGCCAAGAGCCGCTGGCCGGGGCTGTCAGTCTCCCTATGACTTCCACTCCCGCTTCCAAAACCAGAAAATAAAAAAAACACAGAAATCCCAATCCCAGCTGGACTGTAAATCTGCATGCGCGTCGCGGTGTCAAAACTTTTTTAAACAAAATAATTAAATGTAGAGAAGAGGGAAGCCTCGGCAACAGCGCATAAATAGTTGCATGGTTTGCTGCCCCCTCTGAAAACTCTGAAAACAGAAAACCCGTCTCTCTTGAACCCCTTCGATTCACCACAAAAGCTCATGCAAAGAAATCCGCTAGAAAGTCATGTTCGTGTGCTGCAACTTCGAATTGAAGCTGCAGAATCAGCCGAAAAATGTGCCTGCTCCTCATCCCCATATTTATTCCCCTCTTTGGAGTTGGATGCGTGATCAGTCCAGTCACGATGGATTTTATAGGACTTTAAGAGGTTTAAAAACCCACATCACATTATATTTATAGATGCATATATAAAATAAGCCATTTTATTTTGAAAATTACATTTAATGCTTATTTGACACATGCTCAAATATAACTGACTTTAAATGTGTGCTTTGATTCAATATGAAATTATATAATGTTGTCTAGCTATAGAATTTGTATTTATGTTAGGCTTTTTATTTTTATGTTAGGCTTTATTCTCAGGGGATTTCGATGAATATACCAATCGATTTCAGCCATCTCCTGGACATCATCTACCCCCAATTCGAGAGTCACGCTACCATCTCCAAGCCATGAGACTTCTGCCTGCTGCTGGCTGCCTGCTCCCAGCTGCATAATAATTTATGATCGCGTCCAAGATGTGGGTTAATCGTGTTTTGGGCTAGTTTCTTGCCCCAGCTTGTCTCTGCGCGGAGGCTCCGGCTCCAGCTCCAGCTCCATCTGCATCCCCTCCAGTCTGCCAGCCATCTAAATACAATCCCGAGATTGCTGCTGGTTGGCTTTCTGCTTTCTGCGCTTTGGCATGTTCTTCACATCCAATTACTGGGTCAGGGACCTGCAAGTCCTGATCTCCGCTCGGCAATTTCCACAACGAGATACTCCCACCGCGGTCCACCTCCTTTCTAGCCCACTTTTTTCCGCTCTCCGCCAGTCAGTCAGTCAATTGCAAATGGGGCATTTAATCTCGGGGAATGCGTAACAGGCGTCTACTCGCCACGCACGATTCCCAAGGCAATTAGCCACGGATGAAGCCTTATATCCATTGCCAATGACCCCTCTTCGCCGGCCATCACTGCAGCTTCACTCCGACTCTGATGAGCCGCCAAAAAGCAATAAAATATCATTTTATTAGCATGCGGACTCGACTCAAGTGCCAAGGTGGAGGCGTTCTCTATTT